GTGAACTGATGGGTGACAATAACTTGGCACTTGCTCACCTACAATGCACAGGCCGATAGGCAGCCTACATTTTAATGCTAAGAAATGTATAAATAAAAAAAAAGTTTTTCAAAGGGTAAAAAAGGTAGACATAGAAACAATACATTTCATTATTTAATTCAATTGTCACGAACAAAGGATATTACAAATATGAATGACTTATAATTCCAATAGCTATGCCGACAGAAGAACATCAATTTAATAAAAAAGGAAGGAACGGGGCAATATATAATGTATATATAGCCTACAATAAAATGGTCTGAAATTAATTTGGCCTTATAAAACAAATTATTACAAATCTGAATACTAGATATTACCATATATTGGTCTGACCTGATTGAAAAATATATAGCTGTCCCTGTTATTCCCTAACCTTTAACTTTTCACTAAAATATCTAAAAGAGTAAAATAAAAAGAACAAATCGGCTAGCTTGTTCATGCTGCACGCATTTATGACCTGATGATAGCTGATTTTACCACAGTCCTTTGGATTTTCTTCCCAACCTCATTTCTTGGAAGGACTAATAAGCGATTAAAAAACGAGTAGGATAACAAATCGTTTTAAACTATAGAGTAAACTTTAACTTTGCCCTTCTGAACAGAGCGAGGATGAGAACATGTTCCACCTTTTTTTTATAAAGTCCAATGCCGATCGTAAATAACAAATTCACAGCAGAGATTATTGCATAATTTCATCGATATCACGTAGCTTTAAAGGAATGTACAACAAATCGAAATTAATATTAAAGGAATATTTTAAACCTGTGTAGGCTATTTAAATTAAATCTGCTCTGCAGGAAAAAAGTATTGACTCTGGATTTTAGCCACTGCGGCATTCAGTCAGTCTTTTACATTTAAATAGCTTGTTATTTTTTGATGAATGAACATAAAATGCATTCTGAGGAAACAATAAAATGTGTAATTTCAAAGAAGGATATTTCAGTCAGACGATAGATGTCAATGAGCGGGTTTTTTTTTTAAACCAGATTTCGAGACAAGACCAAACGGCTGAGAGGGAACGTTTCTGAGCCACGGCTCTCTTTATAAACACAGAACACCTGAATATACTGTCAATACAATGATCCCAGAGATCAAGACAACGAGATCTGGCCTATTTAAAGAGCATGACACTGACTGGGGCACTGATGTACTGACTAACATCAAATTCACTTCTCATCAGAATAGCCGTTGTAAATTCAATTAGCGCTGATTGCCTCGTCTGCCAACTGCACACCTGAACATAATTTTCTTAATACTGTTTTTGTCACGAATACCAGTGTTGCAGAATGTATTCATTAAAGTCCCCTTCTTCTTATATGTTTCTGAAGCTCTACCTAAAGCCATGCTACCTCCATTGACATGCAGACAGTAATGGACGAGAGACAGGTGTATGCACGCTCAGCATTCTTTGTTAATGTAATGCGTGCACTATAACTGTTTGCCAAGAAGACAATAAGACTATTTGCCTTTTTTTTGTGTGGAAAAGCTCAGAGAGGTAGATGTTCAACATCTTACAATTCTTTTCTGCATCGTTTTTATTGTTTTCCTTTAAAATGTATTATAGGCTACGTGGATATTGCTTTAAGTTGATTAGCAACATTACACAATAATTGTTTTCCCATTGGGATAATACACTATATCTTATTTTTAAGCCATCTAACATTTGATTGTATAAGGTTATGAAGATTTAATGTAAAGTGGTGATACATTAGAATCTGTTTAGGCCAGCCAATGCACATCATGCATTTCTCAGTAAAGGAGCAAGTGTGTTTGACATGATTTTCTCTACCCCTTATGTTTTCCTGTCAGATTGTTCAGCTAACAGTTCTCCGCAGACTCGGAGGAATGGGCGCAGCTCTCACTCTGGATGCGATTGGTTTCGGCGCGCCTGCAGTGCAGCAGTGCTGCCGCCGACACAACACCATTGGCTGGCTTGTATCCGGGCAAGACGCTGCTGCTGCCGGATCCTCCGGTGCTAAATACCCGGAGAGCCCGAACACAGCATGGTAATCTGCATCATGCTCATTGAGAGCAAGATGGGGAAAGGTTAGAGAGGTGGGAGGATTATCGAACAGTTCAGGTGCGGCGGAGATCCTGAACTGAACAGCCCAAAATTAATTTCTATGGCAACCGTCCCTGCCACTTTAAGGGTCCATGCGCATAGAAATGACAAGCAGCTGATGGAAAGGTGATACGGACTTCAGTTAGGGTCTCATGTCAGACAGAGCATGCAGTTCGTTTACACCGGGGGTTGATTTTCTGAATCCTCCTAGCCAAATAGAAACATAGATTTCAGAGCCTATTCTTTCCCGTAAGCACAGACAACAGGCTATTGAACAAACATGAGAATGAACACAGAATGCACACCTGTTCTGCACGCGCACTGATCTGTTTCGTCTTTTCCGTCACATTTCTAATACAAGTAAAACAGTGATATCTGGAAAGCACACAGCACCTGCGTCTTACTCTCATTGAATCCTGGACAAAGTCAATGTTGGATGAATTGCGGGTTACTCACTTGTGTGTCATTAAACAGATCCCGGCAGTGAAACGTGCGTTTACAGATGCCGACGGAAATGCAGGTTTTTACAACAAGTTATAACAATAAAGGCCTACACAGTTAATGGTGGATTTGTATGAATACATACAATTTGTTGCTTGTGCTACACAGATCCTTGCTGGAGTTATTTATTTAAAAAATGAATTCATTCTTAGAGGAGTTAAGTTCACTATAAAAATAGGCCTACTGTTGGCATAAGCGTGATAGGCCTGAAGGGTGTTCTGGGATCCGTTCCTGGCAGTTTAAAACGACTGCATTGCATAATTAAAAACAGGATGTTGAAAGTATCGTGTTTGTTGCAAATGTTGTATTCAAGCCCCCGCCCCTATTAAACTGTTGTGACTTGATTTAGATTTGTTTCCATAATGCCCGTGCACTTTTATTACCTTACGGCTGTGCAGGCCTACTGAAGAAGTCTCTGTGGAATACATGTTAGGAGCACAGTTAACATTTGGTCCCTTTCAAAAAGCCCGCCCTCTCTAAGATCCATTGAATATATGGGTGACTTTAAATGACCAGCACACCAACTGCAAGGGTCTGTCAGAGAGCATATAGGCCTCATTTAACGGCCATGCACACAGTGAGAGAGAGCTGGCAGATAAGAGGAAGAGGGTGGATCCCCGACAGGAAGTCTTATTACACAATTTTATACACTTCTTGTTTTATTTATGGGTAAACCTGATCAACTTTTTCGGATTTTGGCATTTGTTTTGCCTAAATAAGAGCAAACAGACCTGTTTTGTGATGCTTAGAATAAATAATGCCTTCTAAAATCCTGCGGGGTAATTTACCGCCCGTCAAACATTGTTGCAGTGATTGTTTCGCTGCAGCTGCGAGACGTTAGACACACGACCGGAGACGACATGAAAGAGGTGGATGCAGCAGAGAAAGGACAGCCATTTTCTCTCTCGCTGCTCACATCCACGCGCACTGAGGGCAGGTTTATTGGCGGGCTGAGCCGGGCTCTGCAGGAAATGATCGAGAGCTGCTGACTCGAACATTTCACTCGACATTTTATATATTTACAGAATCGGAAAGGCAAATAATAATTATTCCTCCCTTTTAACACACGGGTTTGCGTTCAAATGCTAGTCTTTCGGTAGGTTTGTGCAGCAACAGAGCACGGAGTTCCTCACATTAATGCGCCTTGATGTTATTGAGAGGAACAGCAACTGTCTTCCTCATTATATAGCTGACATGTGAAACCGTGCAGGAAAATGGGAAATCATATCCCACGTTATGTCATTTAAGCTGTAGGTCAAGTAAGGAAATCCGCAGCCCCCTGCTGTGCTACTCAGCATGTCAGGAGGGTTTATTCAGGTAACATCACGCATGAACAGCTGCCAGGTCACAATTATGAGCTTTACTGAAATCCTCATATAAGTGTTTGTTAAACCATAAAGCGATTCCCAGCTCACAGTGGATACCAATCTGTTAGTGTCTGGTTTAATGAACATCATTTAAAAACTATTATTATCATAATCCAATCATCTCAAGATCTTTCACTTTTTCTCAGTTAGAGGATGGAAGAACTATTCATATCCTTTACTGAAGTAAAGCACTCATATCACTTTGAAAATAATCAAGTAGCCCTACAAGTTGAAGTTGGAATTGTTTTTTTTATATACATTGAATATGAATGAAACGAAAAATATAGTTCTGTGAATCAACCAATTCATTATTAATCATTTTTAAGACTTCTTGTAGGCCTATATTGTTGAGTAGTTTTATGAAAATACAAATCATTTTGTATAAATGTGTTATGTTTTGTGTGCAAATGTCTCTATTATTTATTAAGTGAAATGCAACTTATGATGTCAGTTAAATGTAGTAGGGTATTAAAAAGAGGCATTAAAGAAAGTACTCAAGTACAAGTATCTAAAAAATGTGTACAATATAGTAGTAAACAGTTACATTCAACCCCTGTACACCACACATCTAACTATGTGTAAACATTGACATGTAATGTTCATTTTACCACGCTGCTGTATCAGTTGCATTCATACAACACAATCAAAATTGTTATCCACTTCTAAGTAAAGGTGTTACCATAGCAGCAGTGAACTGACCTGTAGCTACAGTATAGGCACACAAGGCAAATACTGGTCGGGGTAGCCCATCTGAAAATAAACTCATTTCAGGCTCTGTAATAATCCTTGCTGCCGCAGCCTGCACTCACACACAGCCACAAATAGAGCCATGTACAGATTTAGAATCTTCTGAGGTAAGGATGGCCATTTAGGAGCATTGTAGCAGCCGCCCTTTCTGGTTAAAATCTCAAGTTCTCGGTAGGAGGCCAAGGTCACATGTCAAGGTTTATAACCATGTTCTTAATATAGGACTATGTGCCTAAAACAAGAAACACAAGTCCATAATTTACTTGCAAACAATTTTATTATTGCAAAATGTATCATAGGAAGCCTTCATTTTTTTGTCTGCACACAAAACATAAAAAGTGCTTCTGATAATCATTCTCACAGAGCTGTTCAACGGACCTCAGATCTCAAAGTGCTGGAAGGGATTTTCGAAAATGAAACAAAAGTAGAAGGGGCATGTATGACAGGAGGGAACAGATATGATTGTGACAAGAATGTGTGCTTTTACAAACTTTTAATTAGCGCAATGTAGCAAAAGTTACGTAAAATATGACACCAAGACAGTTCCATTCAGTTCCACATAACTGTGTCGCCTCAGAACATGTGAGGGAGGCCGAGAACGGAAACATGAGAAAGTGAATCATAGATCACCCATCTGATGTTGTAATATCTTGGGAGTACACATGTCAACTAACAGTGTTAACACAGATGTGTGACTGATATGGTTCAAGTGAAGCAACGCCATCTTATTCACTGCACTGCGAGGAAACATTACATAAATAAAGTCTCAGGGCTGAAGGTGACTGCTCAGGATCAGATCTGGAGATTCATGACTCAAAGAACCCTTTGAACAGAGATAGAAAAAGAGCGTATATCAAACATTAACCATTTATTATCTTTCATTTGAAAGACATTTTCTTTCAGCTGCAGATCACATTTACTGACAGAAAGGTGCTTAGTTTTTTCTGATCTGCTTGTTTAAGCATGCCTAATAGCATAATCTGTCCAACAGCATGCATCCTTGTTTCAATCGGCCCATCTGACACACACACACACACACACACACACACACACACACACACACACACACACACACACACACACACACACACACACACACACAGTGTAATTTACCATGGTTCAATATAATCTTTTTTTACAAAACTCCATAAAGCCTACATTTGTTTAGCATTGTCAAAGAGGCCAACAGTTTGAGTGAATAATCAAATTACAGATAAGAGCATCTTCAATCAATTTCAGACATTTATTTGACCTAATTTGGCCTGAAATTAGGTAACGTATGTGATAAAAAATCGCCAGGAGTAACAACAGAGAGCTTATAAAAAGAAATATGCAAAAACGCAATAAAGGATATTTTTTCTTTATGGGAACTATACAAAATGAAAAAAACATCAAGGGTCCGTTTGTACATTCAAGCATCTGAAAATACAAATATATTGAATGTAAATGTATGCAGTTCCACAGGTCCGTTACGCTGTAATGTATTCCTTAAAGGTGACTGTGAGGCAGTTCGTGGTAATGTCTGTGATCACTATATTCCCGAGGAAAGGCTGGAGAGAGGGAAACGTCTCCTCTTTTCTCTTCTCATGGTTACACACAGACAATGAATTGACTTTATCCTCCTCTGTAGTTTCAGTTTCTGTCCGTACATCCGTGTGTGTGTCTGTTTCATCATGTGTGCGTGTTTCAGATTGTGTTACAGTTTCAGTTTGTGTTTCAGGCTGCGTAGCTTTAGGCCGGGACTTGACAACACTTAAGTCGATAGGTTCCTCCTGGTCTGCGTACCCACAGTCCTGCAGTCCAGTGGGACTCTGGTGTGTGTTTTGGTTGGTGCTTTGGGTGGGTGGAGATGTGGCGTGAGGAGGGCTGATACTCCTGCAGCTCAGAAACCTCTTACTACTCCCATGATCCTCGCTGTCTGGGTCAGAGAGGTGTCGCTTCAGTCCTTGAAATTCACCTTGGTTCCCTCTTTTGTCCAGTGGGGAGGGAACTCCCCTATCCAAAGGCAGCGAGAGCAGATTAGGCTTGGTTGTGCCTTTACAACTTGTCAGTTGTAAAGGCTGATCTTCTGAAAGCTGCCCCTGACCCCTGACCCTGACAGGTTTATCCTGATCCGTCACAGTTGGCTCCGTTTTGGGGGACTGTTGCTTTTCTTTGAGGCAATGCACTTTAAATCCAGAACTAGGGAAGGTTGTTTTGTCTTTGGGGTTTTTGGCAAATCCGTTCATGAGGCCGAGCTTCCTGACGAGCTTCATTTTCTCGAGGTGGTTCTCCGTGCTGCTGTCAGCTGGTTGCAGCGGCTTTCCAGCGATGTCAGAGCCGCTGTTTTTAATCTTAGCCGCTTTCATTCCGTTTTCCATGTACTTGCTCATGACAATAACAATCCGCCCGTTCTTGTTTTTGTTTTTCACGATCTTTAACTTGCCGTTGCTGCCTCCATTAGACTGCGTAAGTGAAGCATCCTCTTTAGGTTGGACCTTCTCCGGCTCGTTGTGGCCGTTGAGGTCCGCTGGGAGCTTCTTCAGCTCCATGGTGATATCCTTGACTTTTGTCAGACAACCTGAGTCCTTGTCCCGGACCCACTTCTGCTGCAGCACCGGGGGAAGGTTGTACCCTTTGTTCACCAGCTCCGGAGCCTTCACCTCTCTGGGTTTAACAAAGATGGGATCGTGGCCCTTGAGGTCCGGCTGGTACTGGTGGTGCTTCTTGCTGTTGAGCTGGTAGAAGAACTTCTTGCCGTGCGCTGGCGGCTCGGTGTCACGCTCCCGGCACAGCGGCTGGTACGGGTGGTGCTTCTTGCTGTTCAGCTGGTACTGCTGGACCTGGGGACGGAGCATCTGCATGGGGCTGGGCTTCAGACAGCTCTCCTCCTCCAGGGACGCCTCATGGAGGTCAGCCAGGATGCTGGATCTCCGGGCGAAAGAAGGAACCTGTGGAACCAGAGAGTGATGTGTGTCAATAAAAAAGCACAATAACATGGAACTCCATCAATATCTGTTGTTTTTACAAGTATTTACAGCAATGGGCCTACAACAGTGTCTATGTGTCTGTGTCAGGCTACAACAAAGAGCCCCGGTTCACTGGGGCCCCTGAGTGGCACTGTAGAAACACTGTTGGAATGTGTGAGGGGTTCTTCTGAGACACACACTTTATTTCAGGGGCCGGGGTCCATGTTCACACAGCCCCCTCCCACAGCCCCTGTGCCCAGCACATCACAGTGACATTTCATAGTGACTCCCCTGGCTGTGACCTCAGCTCTCAGGAATGTCCCTGACTGCTTTGTCATTGACTTTATCCCATGTGTGACCACCAACACCCTCCTGAGAGGAACACAAACCCTCCTCTGAGGGGTTCCCGCGGGCTTTTGGACCGATGATTAATGCTCAAAATGCACAATTCGTGTTAGCACTCCCAACAACTAAGATAGAGGGGCACTTTTTATTTAACTCAACCTTTATTTTTATTTGGAAATACATTGAGGATTTGACTTAATTTACAAGAAAGCAGAGTCAACACAATAATAAACAAAAAGAAAATCCTCGGCAACAAGAAACACAAATAAGAAACTTAATAAAACAAGTTAAATTTAAGGCAAATGAATAATGTCATCATGCTAATCCACTTAGCCTATGAACAAATAGTTGTTTTATGGGTTCTGTGGCACTGGAAGAGCTTTTAAAGTCTTAGACAATAACCCTGATGATGTCAGCCGGTATTTCAGCCACACGTCTATAAGAGTAAGCCTGGAGTACAGACAGGGGGTTGAGTTTGAGAGGCAGTGGTCTAAAAATATTGCTTGCAGAATCCAGCATTTCCACAGCTTGAACCAGGGTTCTTGGGACTTAAATTATAACAGTCTCATATCTAGTGAGTTCCCCACTTTATGTTGGTGTAATATTAAACCTTCTAATCGCCCCTTTAAATCTGACTTAGAACTTAAAGAGCAACTTCCAGGTTAAAGACACCTGTGAATAAATGTGTAGGAAAATGATGTATACACTAGATTTTCAAAAAAATATACATAAATATACACTACAGTGACATCTGGCGTCGTTTTTGTAAGACATTTTTACTTCCGCATCAAAAAAGCCTCCCCACGTGACCTCCCGCGTGTGACGTAACAAAGGGAAAACAAGGGGGAGAGCGGCCGGTGTAACATATTAATAAACATGGACCCCAATGCTAGTTTCGACACAGAAGACACAGAAGAAGTTGAACATGTATATTCGAATGCATATGACGGACCACAACCTTATAATTATGAGCCTGCTAGGCTAGAGAACTGGGCAGCTATCTTGGTGAGTGATCGGCGTTAGCTACAGAATGTTAGCTAACGTCACATCACAACATTGTAAAGTTAGCTATCATATATCAGGCTATAACTAAAGTAGCATTGATAATATAGTAACGTTACTGGCAGGACTGTTGATACTGATCCATAACAGAAACNCAAGGTCCTCCGGGTAGATTTATTTTTAAATATTGAAGTTAAAAGCATCAGAGAGATGTATCCATAGATCTCTTTTTTTTGCTCTCAAAGTGCACCAGATTGATGCTTTTAACTTCAATATTTAAAAATAAATCTACCCGGAGGACCTTGCCCCCAGACCACCCTATGTGAGGTCCACACACCACCTATAAAAATAGCACTTTACCCCTGCTTACACCTATATGCCTCGAGCCTTCATTGTAACTGTCACAATGTGTATTTGCGTGGGGATTGTTGCAGTAGAAATTTCCACNAATTTGTTAATCGTCCACTTCATTAAAAGGCTTTGAAAATGTAAGTTGACATCAATATCAACAATTTTAATTCCCTAGGGCAGTGGCCCTGGGGGGCGCAGAGGCATGAAAGGGGGGGCGCGAGAGACCAGGATGAAAGATGGTTATTAAAAAAAAAGATTAAAAAATAAATAAATCATAATTTGAAAAATTATTGATTCGAAAATAATATGATACAGTAATATTACGTCTGGGTCTCTGTGTTTCATTAAAGCTCGGATTAAACGAGCCATTTTGTGCACGTGCGCGAGAGAGAGAGAGCACACCGGTACCGTCCGGAGATCGTAGTTGTTAGCTTCTGGTGCTAGCGAGCTACGCTAACGGATATAAGGAGTTTTTTCAACAACAAAGTGGAGGAGATTCCTCCCCTGTCAGACTGAGAGACTCAGTGAGCTAAAGGACTCTCTGAGTGTTTAGATAGTTAACTTTAGTCTAAGTTATCTCTGTGGGTGTCAAACGTTTTGGTCACCATTAATGTAAACAATTATTTCCGAGGAAATATATATTAACATAAAATGCTCCTGTTTTATCTGTTTGTATCTGTGATAAAGAGACTTCTCATGTCCAGGTTCATATCAAACTGTCTCTACTGGGACATGTCTCCATGCTTTAATGTTCAAAAAGCTCTTTATTGTTCTCATACTGCCAATGCTGCAGCACCTCTTTTCACCGTCTGTCTGAAACCAGAGCCCAGTCTGCTCTGATTGGTTAGCTGGCCGGCTCTGTTCAGATTGGTCAACAGCTTAGAGAAGTCCCGCCCCTTAGCCTATCACGTACAATGTGTTGGAGAGCTACATAGTGATGCCACTAAGTTACGGAAGTAAAAAAGGAGGGATTGTAGCCTTTGCCGTAGAGCTGTGCAATTAATGGTATTTTAATCTCGATTACGATTTTGTCTTGCAACGATTACAAAAACAACCTAATCGAAATAAAACGATTATTTTGCTGCATTCTCCTTTCGCAATGATGCTCAATTTGTCTTGCGTTATATATCCTTATATCGCTTTCGCTCCTCCCTAAAAGCCCTCTCGGCCAGGTTGTGTTGTGACTTGCAGTCTGTTTAATAAATCCATATAAACACGTTACAAGGGAAGCTTTAGTTGCCGTGTCTTTAATCTCCGGTCTCTAGCGTACAGTCAACTTTCACTAACCTCGTGAAGCCGGAGCCTCTTAGCTACTTCCGGTTTCTGGATAAAGGGTTACCAAAATAAGAGCACTGCGTGTAGCAGTCTAATTAAACATTATAGCTTGTAAGTGACATTAGTTATCATAAAATATATGTTTAGTAGGTTGTGGAAGTGTGCTCCAAAAAATGTGTTGATCTTCTTTATTGGTATTTATTATTTTGATATTATTTATTTAAATGTAGATATAAATGTATAATTAATTTGTATTGGTTTTTCAGTTGAATTATACTTAAAGTTCAGGGTATACAACTGTTAAAAATATCCTGTTCAAATTATTATTTTAATTTGTTTTAAAGTTCAATAAATGGATGTTTTCAAAGTCAATGAATAATCGTATTTAATAATGGTGATGTCAATATTGGCCAAAATAACCGTGATTATGATTTATGCCATAATCGCACAGCCCTACTTTGCCAGCAACATGTTCATGTGCGAAAAAAAAACTATATAACAAACTACAGGAAGGGAGAAGCCCAAAAACCGAATGAGGAGCCCCTGCTTGACGACTGCCCTCACTACAAAACCATATATGACAGTTAAAGTGTCTTTAAGATCATATTATGCAAAATCCTCTTCGTTTCATGTCTCTTCTACATCAACATGCCGTTTCCCCCTTGTGGAAAGCAGACTCTGAAAGTTTCAGGAACAAGATTCTCCTCTTTTTGTCACTGATCCATTTATTAAAAAACTCCCTGTCTGAAAATGGAGCTTCTTTTTTTTTTTTTTTTTTTTTTTTTTTTTTATCAGATTTTGGCCACTTTGTGATGTCATAACGATTTTTGCTGTGTAACTGTTAGGAAGAATAATCACTCGCGCCAGCTATGAGAATCAATAATCAGGTATAATGTATTCTTGCAAGAAGGAGCAGAGTTAAGTCACATACAAAGGGTATGGTTAACTCACACCACATGGGGTATGTTGCTCAACTGAAAGCAGCAAAAAGACATCAGGGCTTATGCAGTCCAAAACACGGAGATACCAAAAGAGTCGTAAGATCGAGGACTGGGCGCGTGGACCCGGGAGACTCCAGGGGGGTCCCGGGGCCCGCGGGCCACCTGGGGGACCCTCCGGAGCAGCGGGGAGCTCTCGTGGTTCTCCCCCTGGGGGGCTCTCCTCTCGGGCTCGGGTTCCTCTGCAGGCTCGCTGCCAAGCAGCGCGCGCCCCCCCTGCTCCTGGCCTCGACACCTGCTGCTTAGTGGGACGCGCCGGCAGATCCCGGCACTACCTGCGCAGAGCCTCGAGCACAAGACAACTACTCAGGTAGCAACCACACGCACACACACACGCGACGAGACCATCGATCGGCACACCAAACATCTGCTACACCTACACACATCACACACACGGCACTGCTCAGCGACACCTTTCAGGAGGGAACATCAGATGTTCCTTTAGTCAATGAGACGAGTGCGAGACATAAAAGGCATAAAGG